AAATATAAAATATATACATATATATGAAATTGTATTTATATAATATATGTTATCTAAAGTTGTATACATAAATTTAATATATTCAAAAAATGTATAAAAATATATCTAGATAAATTCGAATAGATATATGTGAATATATTCAAAAAATATATTTGAATAAATTTGAATTATACAGATATATGTAATATATTTGAAAAATATATTTGAATAAATTCGAATTACACAGATATATGTAATATATTTGAAAAATATATTTAAATAAATTTGAATACATGAATATATACAAATATATTTGAAAAAATGTATCTGGATAAATTCGAATACACAAATATATGTGAATATATTTGAAAAATGTATCTGGATAAATTCGAATAAACGAATATATGCAAATATATTTACATATTTATTCAGATAAATTTAAATATTTAATGCGGATAAATGCATGGATGGTCAAATATATCTGAATATATTCAGTTCAAATATATTTGGATATATTTGTTTCTAAAAATTTCCTGATGTAGTACAATGAGAATATAAGTACCAAAGTGGAAGGACAACAAGAATACCTTAATGCTCATTTTATATAAAAGTGTGATGACAACTCTTTGAATTGATCTTTCATAAGTGCCAAAGTATTTTCTGTTTTGTGCTACTAGTATTTGTAGATCTGCTAAAGAGTGCAATGAAAAATATGAGTGCCAAAGTGATTGTCAATATATGCTTGTATGTATTGCCTTCATGAGTGCCAAAGTATTTTCTATTGTACTTTTTTCAACTGAAGATTTCTGGATTTTCTTTCAAGTCAAATTATTAAGTAAATATTCAAGATTTTACATGAGAAAAGGGAATTTTACATTTATTTTCTTTGTATATACATGGTTTAGTTATATATATATATATATAGTACACATTTAATTTTTTATTAACAAAATCTTGAGCTAAGTTCTAGAGTTCTTGTTTTAATATTAATTTCTATTTAATGTATTAAAGTATTAATATTTTTTCCATTTATATATAATCAAGACAATAAGACAATATCAATGGTATAGTTGTGATACATCTTTAAAATAAAATGAAATAATCAAAAATTAATTTCTTAAAAGGTAATTATAAAAACGAATCTTCCTATACGTAATTCAACTAGATTCAAAAATTACATTTATTTATTATTTTATTAATTTTTATTTTATTTTAAGTAATCTTTATCACAATTTTATTTGTGTAATATTACGTTATTAAATTAATGTAAATTCTTTTTTTTTTAAAGTTATATTATACATAAATTATTATCTTTTATGAATTAGAAAATTCAATTTCTAATTCTTTTTAATAGCTTTCAGGATCTACACGTTCCACATATACAATATTCCTTTCTTTCTCTAATAATCTGACAAATTTTTTTTTGGAAAAATTTCTTCAAATTTGAAATATTTGAAATCTTTTAAAGATTCTTTAACTGTCATAGAAAATTTTGCTTGATGTGCAGTTGCTAGACAAATTTGATATGTATTTCTGTTGTAAAATGAAACCAAAAATAAAATTATCATCATTTATTATCGTGATTATGATTTTAGTGCCACGGTATGAGGATCCAAAACATAAGGAATTTGATTTTTAGTATCTTTTGGTAAATAATAACGTCTAATTATATCCTTTGTCAAATTGAATCATGAGATTAGATTAGATGTATATTTTGAAGTTTATAATCAAAAGATGGGTGCGAAGAAGAAAAGAAAAAAATGTATTATCTCTTGATCAAAAATCTTGTACTCTTACTTTTTTTTTTTGATATTTTAGTTCACAATTTACTGGGCATTGAAAATCTGCAAGAATATTTTTTTAGAAGATAATACAGCACACGGAACAATTAACAGCGGGAAGAGCTAAACCCGAGATTAAAGTATTGAACTCGGAAAAGTTAAATTTGTTTTTCGATTTATGTACGTATGTATTTACGGTATTTACGCGTTAATTCACAGAAGTTTATAATAGCAGATAGTACCTCAGTTGTGGAACACAATTTTTTTTTTGGTATTTCCATTTTGAGACTGTGCAGTAAATAATAATATTTCCTATATGATAATTAAGTACTGTACTTAAAAACTTATACATATTTTGTTCTACAAATAATACAAATAAGAAAAAAACAACCTTCTAAAATCAACAATCAAAAAATGAATGAAAGAAAAGGAAGAACAGCCTTTTGTGAATTCTGTGAAAGTAAAATTGAAGTCGAGTCTTTATAATTGAAATGCAAAAATTTATAAAAAGGAAGATATATTAATCTTTTGTTAGATTTCTTTACTGTAAAAAGGATTTTTTTATGTCATGTGTTAACGCACCTTCTAAATTTAAAAGAAAATAATAAATATATAATCTCAATAAAAAATTTTCAATACTGCAAATATACACACTGAATTTTATTATAAAATGATTTACTTTAAAGAATACTTTTATTATTTTTAACGTATTTATGTTGTTGTTGTTAGTTTAGTGTAGAGGTTAGAAATCTATATGCTTGTAATATTTTATATATGTACATGTGTTGATGACGAAATTATATTTTTTGCATATTCTTTTTAAATAAAGAAAAAAAAAAGTCTATATGGTTTTTTTTTATACATAATTTGAAGACATAAATATTTTTAGTTTATAACAACATCATCATGTTAAGAAAGAAAGAAATCTTGTAAATAATAAAAAAAAATAAAAATAAATGAAAGAAAAAAAATGAAAAAAATGAAAAAATGAAAAAAAAATGCTTGAAAAGAAAATGCTATTTTTTAATACAAATGCAATGAAATGAATGCTAAAAAATCTATATTGTTACTTACAAAAACAAATGATGAATGTGTGTGAAGGGGAATATGTGGGGAGAAATATGCATGGGGGAGAATATGAGGGAGAGAAGGAGAAAAGGGAATTATGAATAAATTTATATGCAAATGAAATGTATATGAAAAGTCTATGTTAATATGTATAATCTATAATATGTAGTTAAATACAAAAGGGTTCTATATGTTTATGTGTGTATGTGTGTAATAATAGTTAGTAATAAAATATACTAATAAAGTGGTCGTTGATGATGAAGATGATGAGGATGAGGATGAAGAATAGAATTTTGTCCAGAAGACATAACAAAAGAATTTAAGAATCCTTCGTTAAATTCATTATATTCTAAATCATCATCTTCTAAATAATAAACATTATTATTATTATTATTATTATCTGAAGTAGCATTAACGGTGGTGGCGGTATGAGTTGAATTATCAATTTGCATACTTTGATCGAATTCCATTGCAGGAAGTAAAGTATTAAAGAGATCACCTTCATAAGATGAAATCCATTCTTCATCTCTAGCTGGTGTTGTGGTGTTGGTTGTTATAGGTGAAGAAGTATTGTTGTTGCCGTTGGTGGTGGTGTAACGTAAAGGAGATGGAGAACGTTCAAGAAAATCACGAGAGTTATGATAATAATTATGAGGAAGAGGATGATGATAATTGGAAGTTTTAAATGAAGGACAAGTATTGGTTGAAAGAAGAGGAGGTGAATTTGATTCAATGTAAGGGGGAGTTGAAGGAGCAGAAGAATCACTTGTCCATGAACCAATTGAATCAGCAGAAGAAGAACGATAATGATTCCAAAGAAGAGATGGAGGAGTACGATTACCAAAAGCAGATGTAATATTGGTAGTATTGTTGTCATGAGTTAAAATTTTTGAATCTAATTTCTTGATTACTTTATTATTATTATTATTATTATTATTATTATTATTATTATTATTACTGTTGTTGTGATGAATATTTTTTGATTGCTTCTTTTTAGGAGCAAATTTATAATTAGGATATTTAATCATATGTTCAAGTTTTAATTGTTGAGCACGTTCTCGCCAAAATTGTTTAACTTCTTCTGATTCTTCATTCCACATTTTTGCTGCAATCACTGAAACAAGTTTATTATTCATTCCAGGATTTTCTTCAAGAACTTTATGTTGAATTTGTTCACGATAAGCCATGAAACAATTCTTAGGACGAGGAATGTGTCCATTGTTTTTACGTTTACGCCATGAACTACTTGAAGAGGAACAATTTTTGGTAGATTTAAGAGAAGATCTGTTGGATACTGAAGAAGCAGGAGAAAGAGGAATGGCATTTGCAGGAGGAGAATTTGTTAGAAAACCAGAAGAATTGGTGGAAGAGGAAGAAGGAGAAGAAGAAGAAGAAGAAGAAGAAGAAGGAGAAGTAGTAGTAGTAGGAGATTTGGGTACAAGTAAAACTTCGTATCCTCTTGGAATATGATAAACATCATATTCAGGTTTGTTTTGAGGAGCAGGAGCGATATTACGAAGTTTTGAACCACTTGATTCTACAAAAGGGGTTGATGATCCTGACATGATATTATTGTTGCTGTTGTTGTTAATGTTGTTGCTTTTGTTGGTGTTGTCGGTGTTGATGTTATCAGTGTTGTTCGGGAAAGAAGAAGTATCAGAAGAATTGATGTTTTCGTTGTTGTTACTTGACATTTTGGTTGTTCAGATGTATAAATATATATATCTCGATTATGTAATTTTTTTTTTGTGAAGAAAAAAAAAAAGGAAAAAACTCGTTGTGTAGTTGCTCACAGAGCAAAGAAATTTAATAGTTCAAATTTGGATGAGAAAAAAAAGAGAAGGAGTCGTGGTATTTATATATAATTAAAGAACACACAATGATGTCGATAATGAGTACAGTGAAATGAAACGATGTAAAAGTGGGAAAGAAAAGATGAGACGGTGTAGATCCAATTAAAATTAAAATTAAGATTCCTCTTTGTATAGTTTATATGTATAGTTTATTTAATAAAATTAAGATGTACATTAAATTAACTCGCATCAATTTAATTTTATCATTGTGTTCGGTACACATAACATGCTCGGTACACATAAACACACAAAACAATATACCTAACAGACTATTTAGATAAAAAATAAAAAATTACCTTGTTCTTAGACTTGTTTGACATAAAAGGAAATATAAAAGGTGAGGAGAAGAAGAAATAATAGTGAAATTAGTGAAATTAGTGAAATTAAATTGAAATAATTGAAATTGAACTTATGAAAAAAAAGAAGAAAATTATCTATTATTAGTTTAAAATGATCGAATGACGACGAAAGAGAACTTTTCCGGATCCTTTAGAAAACACACACGGAAAATAAATTCTGCTCCGATCATGTATACATATGTAGTGTGTATAACTTGTACGTTTAACTCACTTACGTTTTATTGTTTTATTCTCTATATTTTTATTTTCCCGCCATTTTCTTTTTCTCATTCATTTCTCGCACCCCTCAACTTCCCCTTCCTCTTTCCCTTTTTTTCATCATCCTATTTTATTATCTTCTCTAGTAAATCTTTATAAAAAAATCTCTGAAATTTCAGTAGTGAAAAATTTTATATAATAATATTTATTATAAATTGTAATAAATAAATAAATATAATGAATTTATAAAATATATAGCGCACAGTAGATATGCAAAAAAATATTTCTCTAATAAAAAAATTTCCTAAACAAGGTTACAGTTTTTTGTCATGTGGAAAAAGATTCCGAAAAAGAGCAACAAACAATGTGATAATGAAAAAACAAAAGTTAAGATAAAATTTTTCTTTTTTCTCCATCTTTAGTTTTACATTACATACAGCGCAGGTAGGTGATACAAATTCTATTTATTTTTTTATTCTATTTTAGAGTTTTAAAATTAATAAAGTTAAAATTTCTTTTTTAGATAACATAAAACAAAGAAAAAAAATTTTTTAATTTTACATGAGAAAAAAAAAATGGTATGATATTAATGGTAATAAGTTTACGGTAAGACAAACAAAATTTTCATTATGATGATGATAGTTTATTGTTGGTTACTGGAGAATCTGGTTAAACTATTAAAACAAGTAACATGTGTACATGTATATATATATACTATGTAATACTGTTTTGTGATGTACAGTACATTTTGAAATTTTTTTTTTTTAAAAAACACTTTTGTTACCTTTGTTAAAAATGGTTTTGACTACAGTAATTTCTTTGTATTTTTTTATTTATGAAACGAACAATCAAACACGAGCCAAACCACGAATGAACGGAATGACAATAATATCATAAAATATTTTGACATTAATTATACATAGATGTACTATACATTACTCTAAATTTTCGTTAAAATACAATTAAACTACTATTAGATTACATTAAATTACATTAGATTACATTAGATTACATTAAATTACATTACATTTACATTAAATTCTACTAAACCAACTATAGTGACAGAATAATTATTATATAGAGGAACCAATTTTTTTTTTTTTAATTATTGATCGTAGTAAATTTCATTTTTTTAAAAAAAATATTAATGCAATAAATAATATTATTAATGTTATTAAATTAACATAGAAAGATATATTCACTTAATAAGTGTACAAATGTATGACGTATATCAAAACTATGAATTCTTGAATTCTTTTATTTACTGTCAATGTAATTATGTTTTTACGAATGTTTTTACGTTTTATAAATATTTCATGAATGTTTTACGTTTTATGTTGCAAAACGAATATAAAGAGTGTGGGGTAAATGTGGTACAATTAATGAAATAAGGAAATTCGTAAATCTTGAAATTTCTTTGTTACTAAATCTTTGTTTAAAATATTTTGTGTTAAAATCTTTGTTAAAATTAATAATAATATACAGTACAACGAAATTAAAAAAATAATATATATAAATAAAGTACAATGAAATCTTTTTAATAATTAAATAATTAAATGTATATATGTAATATTGCGTAATATTTTGTTAAATGTAATGTAAAATATAATTATTTGTTTGTTTTTATATTTGATTTTTAGATACGTTATACGTCACTTATCGAAACATTTTATCAGAACAACGACACTCGCGTTTTGTTATTTCTTTGATCTATTAGAAATTATTATAATTATTAATATACTGAAACGAAAGTAAGAAAAAAAAATAACACAGTAAAATTTATAAAGAAATAATTTGATTTATTGATTTGGTTATAATTTTAGTTTTGTCGTTGTTTTATTATTATTTAATTTACGCGATTAAACAAAAAAAAAAAAAAAAAAGAAGTTCAATTCTTTTCTTTCATTACTTACTCAAAAAGTATAACAACCCTGGAGGATATAAATAAATTAATTAATTAATTAATCAATTAATTAAATGATTAAATAAATAAATATTTATTTATTTATTTAAATAATTCAATATTTATTTATTTATTTAAATAATTCAATATTTATTTATTTAAAGAATTCAAATTTTAGTAATATTAAGTGACGCATAAAATTCCCAATATATCTTTTTAACCTCATTAAACTTGTTAAACCTTGCTTTATTAAAATTAATTAAACTTAATAATAATAATAATAATATAAGTGATCATATTTACCCTGTTAATATTCCCAATTTATTATTATCCATTGTCTCTCACCGTATTATTCGTCCCTTACCTGCTTTTAATATGATTTAAATTAATGACCCAAATTAATTAATTACTAGAATAATATTGTAAGGGACACAAATAACGAGACGAGGGACGGGGACGAATAATGGTAACGGACGAATAATATGGTAAGGAACAAATAATAACCTATTGAATTGATATTAATTTAATTTTTTTCTTCAGTCTAAGTTTTTTTAAAAAAATAATTAATTAATATTTCACATGATTGATTATCTCTGCGTTGTTATAATGTAAAAAAAAATTATTAGAATATTATTTCGCTAAAGAGAATAAAATATCAAATAATAATAATCATCATCATCATAAACATCATTATTATTATTTTAAAGAAATCAATTTCTTTTATTATTATTGATGAGAGAAATAATGAAGGAAAGAGATGATGTTTATATAAAAAAAATTTCAAATATTACGACTTTCAATTCTTTACTAAAAATTGATATATCAATTTTTTTCTTTATTTTTCTTTTTATTATTGTCCTTTTCCTCGCTTGCTTTTGTTCACAAATAACGACAACAAGTCAATCAAATATTTTATTTTATTTATTTCTTCGCTTCAAAAAAAAAAAAAAGATCTTTATCTTCTTTTCTTATTTCCTTTATTTGGTAAATTTTAATTCTCTATCACCATTTATAGTTTGATTGATTCTTAATTTGAATCACAACTCGCTTCTGTTTTTGTTATATAATAAATAATAAATAATGGGTGATAAAGTGACACATTATTATGGGAATATTTTTTATCGTTTCGTTATTATCAAATTTCGGGGTCAAAATTCCATATACAGTATAGCACGTGTATATGATATTCTCCATTATTACAGAACTAAAAATATGTTATATTATTATGATTTTATTGATTGGACTAATAGTTGGCACCTGATTATATAACCAAGTAATGTGGTTTCTTCACATCTTTTTTTTTAATTGTTCGGAATGTAACGTAGGACCTTATACTTTCACGACATATGGTAGAAAATTTTACTTTTACGACATAAGATAGAAATTTTTTGATACCCAAGTTCCGTTTTTCCGTTTTGATGTTTTATTAGTATGAATATCAACTAATTGCAAATTGTGCAACATAAAAAAACAAAAAATAAAAATTTTTTTTTTTATATTTATATACCTTATTATCTTTTAAATAGTTAGTAGGTTTCAAAAAAATAAATAAATAAATACCAACAATTTTTTTTGTTAATAATATTTTATTGGGAAATAATTTTGAATTATATATTATATAAACAATTTAAATTTAATTATTAGCGTATTTTTAAATTATCATCTTTAATTGTCCGGAACATAGGACATTATTAACCCGTATAGATTCTTATCCCTTGTCCACAGTGGGTTTGTCGGGGGTAATATATTTATCACACCTAAATATCCCTGGGATAGAGAATTTTTTACACGTGGAATCATATTAATCAACCTGCATTTTCACATATCATTTATCACATGAAAGGTAGTCGGCGATAAAATTGGGGAAGTAGTTAAAAATAAGAACCAGTCAATTTCATTAATAAAAATTGGGATATATGTAATATAATATTTATTAGCAAAATCCAAAAACATAATAAATTTAAATAAATTTTTGTTTCTTCTTATATAAAATTATTTGTAAATTAAAGAAAAATTTATCTTGATTTTAAAAGTAACCAAACAACATATATTACTGATCATATTATTTATTTTATTATTTATTTTAAAAGAACACAATTTGGTTTAAAGGAAGTTGGATTTCAAAATGATAAAAAAAACTATTAAAATTGACCTTTGTTACACAAATCATGGCAAAGGTATTGTTTTTATGGTTATTTTTTGATAAATCAAGTTATTTTTTTGATGCATAAACATATCAAAAAATGACCATTTTTGTTACACGAATTTGATGTATCAACCATAGGGTGTCTCAAAAACGATACTTTAGCCAAATCATGAATTTAGTAACGTGAATGGACTAATTTGTCACGTGACTTATAGAATATATATATATATATATATAAATACCACATGACCATCGAATATTTAGTTGTAAAGTATCAAAATGGTTAAAAGTTCCGGACCGGCAAAAAGAAATATTGACAACAAGAATAACTAAATATATGAACCTCAGCATTTGTATTTTTAATAATTCTATAAATAACAAGCCCAAAAATTGTATTCCTAATAATTCAAGACTTACATATAACATAACACAATTAAGTTAATTATAATTACAATATAATATATTTATTCAAATAATAAATTTTGATTGATCATCAACAATTTCTAATTTTGAAATAATTTTTGAAATTTATAAAAATTAATATCAAAAAGTACACTTGTCAAATAGGATTTAATATAGGATTTCAAAAGATTTAGCAAAATAAATGAATGTTTGTTATATTAAAAAAAATAATTATAACTTACAATTTTAATCAGGTTTAAATTCAAAATAAAGGTCAAGTCCGTAGGGGTTTGTAAACCTAATAGTTATTAATAATAATCATAAAATCCATCAAATTTGCAGAGTATTGCAATCTTTAAAATATTGCATCGGAAATTTTTTAGGCGTAAATCTCCGTAATATTACGGAACCTACGTAGATTTACGCAGATTTACGTAGATTTGTGAAGTTTACGTAGTTTATATTTTACGTAAATAAATTTACGTAATATTATATGATCCGTATAATATTACGTAAATTTACTTACGTAATTAACGTAATTATACGTAAATTTCGCAAATCTACGTAGGTTCCGTGGACATTACGTAATATTACGGTTTAGAAATTTTCCCGACGCCTAGCAAAATAGAAAATTTTCAAAAAAAAATTTATAAAAATTTAGACTCTGTCAAGCATTCTAAAACCTGCTTTTTTGTACTACATATATGCATGTCAACGTCAATGTCAAATTTGTCATACATTTGAATGACAACTTTTTGACATATGCTGTGGCACACAAACCTAACACAGATAACACTGACTTTTAATAAATATATAAAAAAGGTCTCTTTTTTTAATTCACACCAAGAAATGTTCTAACTAACTAAAAATGCATATAAGTCTTGTGATTCTGCTTACAAATATTCCTTGAATCAATCTTTCACAATAGTAAATCAACCACATTCTAGTATCAAAGAATGTTATATTGTCGAAATTTCAAATATTTCCAATGAGCTATAATTTGTTAAAATCCAATTAAAAATAATAAAAAAATCCGGGTCATGACCCCGATCTAAACTATCCGACCCGTTTAGAAGGAATTTTTTTTTAAGAAATAACAAAATTACTAACTTATCTGATCTGATAGTAATAATAATAATTTAACTTATTTGTGAAGAGTTATTTTTTTTTTTTTGAAATGACTTTAGCTTAATTTTTATTTTTTTTTTTAAGTTTTTTTTTTTCGTAAGGTTGTAATCACAGTAAAAAAAATTCGCCGGAGTTCGATGATAGGAAAATTTTTTAATTAAACCCAACACAAGGTTTTTTTTTTTGAAAAAAAGAAGAAATTTAAATGAGCAATAATCATTATATTGAAGTGGGAAGGAAGTTTTGTCCAAATTGTTTTTTGTTTGTAATATATTATCTATTTCATGGCAGGCAGTGGTAAAGAAACTATCAATTATTAAGCAATATAATTTTTCTACAAAAAAAAAGGAAATAAAAAGGGAGGGAGCAGAAGAAGAAAAAAAAAATATTAACAAGAAAAAAGAATAAAATAAAATAATGATGACATTATTCAAATTTTTGATCCACGCGATTTGTTGTTTTTGAGCGATCGAATAAAAGAGAAGGATAAAATATAATTAATAATCTTAAAAATTCTAATTTTAGATATATATATATATATATATATTAATTACATAATATTAGAAAACATATTTACATAATTCTTATTCATGGCTAATCTAAAACTTATTAGGAATTCCTTTATTTACATAAGAAAAATAAAAAAAAAAAAATTAATAAAAATGCGATCGCAATTTTCGATTTTTTCGTTTTTTTTTTTGAAAAAGAAAATTATAAAATAAATCTATGCAAAAAGGGAGGGGGTAAAAAAGAAATTAAAAAGAAAGAAAAGAAAGAAGGAAATATATATGGAACATATGTATATACACTCATAAAAATTGAAACCTAACATTACAAAAGAGTAGGTAGATCGAATCTGTTAGGATCAGACTGACCTACAGCTGGAATTGGTAAAGGTAGAGTACGGTGATGAGAAGTCTCCGAAGAGAAAGAAAATGTGTAATTTAGTGATGGTTGTGGTGATTGATGTTGTTGAGAATTTGACAACCACGATGGTTGAGGCTGATAATCCCGAGAACATTCGATAGGATGAGGACGTTCATAAAATGGTCTTATAGGAATTGGCGCAATAATTTTGCCTATACTGTCTAAACCAGAAGATTTAGAAATAATAGTAGTAGCAACACCTGTTGTTGTGGATGGTGAAATTGAAGAATTTGATAAAATATTATTATCAAAAGAAGAGGAGGTAATATCAATATTCTTATTATTATTATTATTGGAAGATGGTAAGCTACTACTATTAGGTACTGAAGCCGCAACTTTTTTTGATGATTCTTTACGAGATCGCTTTAATTGACAGGATTGTACATGACGGGATAGGTGACCGTGTCGTGTAAAGCTTTTCGTACACCCCACAATTGGACAAGCAAATGGTTTTGTCCAATTTGGAGGATTTAATGAAGTGGATTCGGTGAAAATATAAGTAATACGAGAGGGATTTGATTGAATTGGATGATGATTTCGTATTAAATAGGTAGTATTCCGAAACGACACTGCAACCATTCTTCTATTACGATTTGTAATCCTTTTAAAACTATTTTCATGAATTTTTTTATGTCTGGTTAATTCATCAGATCTGGAAAATTTCTTGTCACAACCAACCCAATCGCATACATGTGGTTTTTCTCCAGTATGTATTCGAATGTGTCTATTCAAATGTTCCAATCGCTGAAACGCTTTCTGACACGTATTGCATTTGTAGGGGCGACTTTTAGGTCGGGCATTAGTGGTAACATCATTTTTTTGGTTTTCATCATATGAATTTATAAGTATTGAGGAAATATTAGACATCGTAATAGAAGTTCGTTGCGGGAATAAAATTAAAGAACGAGCTGCGGCTGCTGCGCCAGAGATAGATAGATTTATAGCAGGAATGAAGCGTGCTAATTCCCAGCGTACAATCAAGGTTTAAATATAAAGCACCTTCTCTTCTAACATATATATATTTTGTGTGTCATTAAAAAATGCATGAGGAATATATATATATATTGAATAATTTTAAATGTTATCTAATAAAAGAAGTTTTAAAGATGCATATAAATAAAAAAAAAAATACCGATACGGTATTCAAATGCAACGACTTAATTTGGATTAAGATAATGAAAATCATTCTATATATTCTCTATCTTATGTCAGTTCCATAATTTAGAGTTTCACAACATATTTGATACCTGCCACGTTTATTTTATTTACTTTTATTTTTTGATTTTTGATTTAGCAATCACGAGTAAAAATTTTAAACATTGGAAAAAAAATAAAATTCCCAGGGAATTTAGATAAAAGTCAAAGTTATATAATTATGCAGATAATAATGAAATTACTGATAGTTGGTATCAAATTAGGTTGAATTGGAAGAATTTCTTTGTTAAATTTCTAATGAAAATTTTTATCTTACATTTTTCCATGTTTGAAGGCAGGTGGCATCCTCATGAGGTTGCCTAAAATGTCACCATATCTTACATATACGCATGAAAAATTCAAATTTAGGTTAAAGATTAGAAAAATATGCATAAAAAATGATACATATTGTTCTTTATAGATATGCATACATATAATGTATTTATATAAACATATTGTATATTTTATTGTATTAAATTAGAATGGGGATATATATGTTAAGTTGTTTATTTTAATGTGTACTACGTTTCAAGATTTTCACCTAACAACAAAGCTTATCTTTCGTTTGCTTTTTCCAAAATAATTAATACAAAATAATTAATTAATATAAAAAAAAAAAAAACCAAATTTTAAATAAATAAAAAAATAAACGATAGAAAATGATTAAAATAAGTAACAATTGTAAAATGTCAAACTTCCCATCTCACATATTATTATTTTTCACACATTATTGTTTTACATGATGTCATTCTTTCTTGCATTTATTATCGGACCATATTCAGATTTACACATTAAAGATTACGCACGTATTGAATTATTGAATGAATGCGATACATAAATTTAGATTGGGTTACTCAAAATACAAATATATTATTATTATTATTATCTGTCATTGTTGTTGGAGTAATATTATTGATTATTTGTCATTGTCATTGTTATATATTTTATTATCGGTTATTATCAGTTATTATTGGTTATTATCAGTTATTATCGATTATTATCAGTTATTATCAGTTATTATCAGTTATTATCTTATTATCTTATTATCTGTTCATTGTTATTACTACTGTGTATTATTATTTGTTATTACTACTTTATTATTATTTGTTGTATTATTTGTTATTATTATTATTATTATTGTATTATTTGTTATTATTATTATTGTATCATTTGTTATTATTATTAATTTATTATTTGTCATTATTATTGTATTGTTACCTGTTATTATTATTACCTTTCATTATTATCTTTTATCATTATTTGTTATCATTATTTGTTATCATTATTTGTTATCATAAATAGAAAGATATTTATTTTATTTCTAAATTTATGATCAATTTAAGGTTGATAAATATATTATTTATTTTTATGATTTTAAATATAATTATTTGAGCTTAAAAGTTTAATTTATCATATTTTATTTATTACATGTATTATTATCATTACTAAAATTGACATCGTTCTTGTTGTATTTTCCTTCACTTTTCTCCACCACCACCAACTACACTATTTCTATTTCCTCTTTTTTTTTCCTTATCATAAAACTATTCTATATCTATAATTGATGTTACACGTCAATGAACGTCAATGAACGTCATTGAAGTTATATATTGATCTTGTACGAAAAAAGAACTCTTTATATCTTTATTTTTAATAGGTTATTTAAGTCCAACATAACTTAATTAATTGTCTATATTTGGTAACAACAGTACAAATTAATCATAAATCAATAAATTACCATATCCTTAATATTCATTCACAACCCAATTCAAACTTCATTCAAATCCATCGTTTTTCGTATCCATTCGTATCCATTGTTAACAACAATGTAAATTTCTTTGTTTATATTATGCACGATAATTATATAATGAATGATTATGCGATACTAGCATAATATGTATCCGATAGAAAAGTCATGTGACTTTCGTTTTAAATTATATTCTTTTTATGGTTATATAAAATATAAAATCCACAATATTCTTTTTATGGTTATATAAAATATAAAATCCACAATATTCTTTTTATGGTTATATAAAATCCACAATATTCTTTTTATGGTTGTATAAAATATAAAATCCACAATATTCTTTTTATGGTTATATAAAATATAAAATCCACAATGTAGTTGGGTGATCCCAGCCACAATAAAAGTAACAGAGCCACATTTAATATTAACTTTATTTAGGTAAATTAACGTGGCTAATCTTTATTATTAGTATATAACCCAAATACATGAAAATTTTCAGACAATTCGTTCGTTGGTACTTGAAATAAATAATAATAATAATTGATATTTGAATGGTAAATTTCACTCTTTATATAGAAACCTGAGTAATTATATACATATATTTAAAAGATACTACAAATTCTTTCATCTTTAACTTGAATGACTGTGAAAATGACAAAGTTACAAATCAAAATCAAAAAAAAAAAAAAAAAAAAAAAAAAAAGGAAAAATCATAAATGTCAAAAAATAAAATTTAGAAAAAAAAAAATATAATGGTAATGTAAAGTAACTTATAATCAAAGTAAAGTGAAAATATAAAAGTTCACTTATAATAAAACTTAGACATAACTACAAATAAACTTGAAATATAACTTGATGTGTCAACTTTTAGTCGTGGAAAATAAAAATATGATGCTTAATTGCCTAACAAATAGGCACCAAATCCAACACTAACAACACCAGCAAACATCCCAATCATTGTAGCCGTAAATCGTTCCCATTTTCTACGTTTATTTGCATGATCCTCCAAAATTGCTATCTTTTCTTCGAGCTCTCTTACTTCATCCCTCTTTACTTCTTCAATTTCTTCATGCTTGCGTTTACGTGCAGTCGTAGTAGTAGTAGTAGAAGTTGAAGTTAAAGTTGTAACTTTAATAGTTTCATTCATATATGAGGGACTTTCAACATTATTATTCACTGGAACAAATTCTTCATTAATTTCCTTATCATCTTTATTTTCTTTACGTAAAACTTTGGAATGCTTTAATTCTCGATATGTTTGTGTTCCCTTCTCTCTAACAGAAATCGGTAGAGGCGGTACAAAGGTATTTTTTTGTAAAGAATTTCCCATATTTTCCGTTGCTTCAAACGGTGGTGGTGACGGTGGTACAAAAGGTACTTGACGAATAAGTTGCTTATCATGATCATCATTATTATTACCCAAAAGAAAATCTTCTGGAGAAATAATTTCTTCTTTCACGGGAGAAACTTCGAATCTAGTAGTATTATTTCTATTATCTAAAGGTGCTGGTCGTCTATCCTGTTTCATAGCAGTAGATATTAAAGATTTCTGTTTTACTACAGACACGGAAGTCACTGCAGAGATTAAAATCACGGATACCATATTTATCATATTTTCAATAATTAGTTGAAAAATCAGTTTAGTATATATTTCACACCTAAATTTTAGGAAAACAAAATAAATAATTCTTACACTCATTTGTTGAATTGGCTTCGTGTAAATTTGATACCGCTACATTTCTTGGAAGAACGTGGATGACAGAATTAGTAGATTTGGGATCCTTTAGGACTTCTTCAACTTTCCTAAAATAATATACAATAGAAAATAATCAAAAAAAAATTTTTTTGAACAAAAAAAAAAAAATTCAAAACTATTATTATTTACATTGGCATAGGAACAGCAAAATTATCTGTTGTGGTAGGTTCTTTCGTTATGTTAGATGACACTGCAGGAATTTCAAGATTCTCTGCAGGCATTACTTGTGGTAATTCTCTGTTTTGTGATGCGCCATTAGCAGCAATTGGTATCGGGGGAAGTTCTCTTTTTTCTTTAGGATAGAATACATAGGCAGACAAATGTTTATATAAACCTAAGAAAAAAAAGAGATTAGTTAAAAAAAAAATATTTTATATCTAAAACCAAACATTATTATCCATTATTAATTAATTTTATTCAATATTAAATCTCGTACTTTGGTTACGTCGAACGCTATGTCCGAAAGTGATTACATCTCCATGTTTCAATTCTTTCCATTCGCTATCTTGAGAACCGTCCCCTAGACGTGTACTATTAACAAAAGTACCATGTGTACTTTTGGTATCTTTAATTAAAATCTTTAATTTATTATTAATTTAAAAAAATTAGTTTTATGATAATTTATTATTATGACAATTTTAAATATATAAAAAAGAAAAGGAATTACCTTGCCATTCGCCTCTTTAAGCATTGCATGTTCTCGTGACATAACATCACAGATAAACACTCCATTCTCAGCTTTAGCTTCTTTTTGATTCCTGCTTCCGCTAACTCTACCAATTTTAATTTCCTGGTCTGGCAAAAAGGTCAAATGTTTTGGACTAAAGACAATTGAATCGGTAAGAGGAAATAGATTGACGGCTACAATTCTTGTAGGCGCTGGTGATTCATTAGGTGATTGTGAACGGGATCGAGGAGTAATATCAATTGCTGGCAGCGAATCCTTCTGTTTAGTATTATCTAATAATTCTTGATTTTCATTATATTCGTTATATTGAATATCATTAATTGGTGTATCTCTTTCAGCCGTAATATCATTAATATCATTATTTTTTTCAGCCTAAATTTTTTAACCAAATTATTATTCATATTAATATTAATATTTAACACACACCAAAATCTATTGATATATATTCCGAAATAAATTACAAAATTTACCGTGATTTCAACAAAATCTGTTTCCTTCGCAGGCTCAGGTGGGACGTTATCGATATTAGGAGGATCCAAATTGGGTTGTGTTATTTCGGGATCTTTAACCATGTTATTTTCTTGGATTGGCATCACTTGAGGTATTTCTGAAATAGCAGACATTTTATCTTTGTAAAAATATTTTTAAGAAGTGTCTAATGGTTCAAAAAGAAAAAAAAAATGTGAATTTTATTATTCTGTTTGTTTTTATTACGTATTACATTTAAAATTTTCTTTTTATCTTAAAACCGCGTTTATCCACCTTTTAATGATATATTTCATAAATATTTACAAAAGGCGACACTTATTTCAGACCTGACCGTAATAATAATTCTAAGCAAAGGACACTTATTTTCTCGAAAGTAGCACTCAAATTGTCATTAGTAAACTGCGCCCCTTCACTGAATTTCACTGAGGCACGCTCAACAAATCAGATATGAAATGATATTCGGTGGCTTAGCTCGGAGTTTTTTTAAACTATTTCTCCGGAAAATCGAAAAAAGCCGATTTCGTTATATTATTCTTTAAATTACGGATTTAGAGAGAAAATTCTTCTAAATTACAGATTTTAATGAAGTTATTCTTTTAAATCACAAATATTATTAAACTTACATCTCTTATTATTAGTTTCTTATCAAATTTCCTTTTTCTTTTTTTCGCGTTTTTGTCAACTTAAATCGGATCAAGATTTCACAAATAATAAATATAGAATTATTAAAAATGTCCATCTTTTAATATCACTATATTTAGATAGATTAATCACATCACACCAGAGAACTTTACAAATTCTAAGAAAAAAGAGTTTATTTAGATTTTTATTTTACACTTGGGTCGACTCTATTGATTGCATTTAGAAATGAAAGAAAATAGGAATTGAAGATTTTGCAATTTTGTAATTTATAATTATTCAATGTTTCTATTATTATGTAATATTAAATAAAGGTATTTTTATATATAAAGGTTTTTTATTTACTATAAAATATCAAAAATAATACTAATCTAATGATAACACTTATCATAAATTGGAATTTAAATTTTATATAATAATTAAACTTTAATCTTTGAATTCTTAAGTAACAAGTTTACAATGGATTTTCAAAATTACTTTTGACATTTAATTAATAATCACAGTAATATTTTCAAAATTCAAACCTTCTAAATAAATTTTCAAAACTATTAATCTTGAAATTAATTTAATAGTAAATTTACAAGTATTTTATCATTAAGATACTTGTTGATACCTTAAACTTATGATTTTTTAGAAGTTTATATGCTATATATCTTTAAATATACAATTATAAATAATTTTATTAACCGGAAATGACATAATTATGTCATTTCCAGTTAGTCTAGGTTATTTCCAATCAGGCATGTGTCATGACAACAGAAATATAACACCGTCATCATGTATCGTGACAACAGAAATGTGACACCGTCATTATGTCATGTGACGTGACAATAGAAATGTGACACCGTCATCATGTGTCGTGATATATGTTTTATGACACATTTTTAATGACCCCTGTGTTCTAGCTTATATATTAGATTAATGCTTTTGATCAATTTCCTTTTAAAGAATGTTGATGAGTTAGATTATGATGAGTCAATGTAATTAGGTGTTATATTTTATAATTCTTGACACACTTGAGTAATGTGTATATTACAAAATTCAAGTTATTCAAGTATTTACTTATATAAAATTTGTATATCGGATTATTGTTTTCAATTAGATTATAGCAAGTAGAAATAATATAATTATATTATTTTCACTTAGCCTAGGTTATTTTATTTAGGTATATATTATGACAGTAAAAATTTGACATCATCATCATGTGTTGTGATAACAGAAATATGATACCATCATCAATATTGTGATATATTTTTTATATACATTTTTGATAACAGAAATGTGACACCATTATCAGACTTTGATAGGTAAATGACTTGTATACTCTTTAGAAAATCAAATTCAATATTAATAATGTTTTAATCACTTATATAAATTTTTGTTAAGAAATAAATAATAGTTTGTAAAAAAGTTCAAAACAAATAATAGTTTTTGAAAAAGTTTAAAACAAGAATGTTATTCTTCACTCTCTATTTTTATTCAAATAAAATGCTTTCTAACCTTAAAAAATGAAGTCCAAAAAAAATATAATAAAAATTAATATTTAGATAATAACAATTATAGGAATTATAGGAATTATAGTATTATAAAGACTATAGGAATTATGGAGGTAAAAAACTCACCTTGTGAAGAATAACTTTTTTCCTATTATTTTATTTAATTCAATAATTTTACTTTTATTTATATTGCTAAATGAGATTTTCTCAATTTTTATTAATAAATTAATAATAAAATACATATATATATATATATTTTATATTATTATAATTTTTTTTCTAATCTATTATTAAATAATTAAATTATTTTTTTAAAAAAATAAAATATTAAAATGTTAAATATGACTATAAGAGTAATCAAATCCTTATAGAAGGAAGAGAAATTATTATGTTTTTCAAACTTGAACTTGTCTATTGCTCATTAAAAAGATATGAATTTGTCATCTCATTTAAGAATTTGTTTTGCTCATTTAAAAGACATGAACTTGTCATCTCATTTAAAAGTTTATTTTGCTTGTTTAAAAGATATGAACTTGTCATCTTATTTAAGAGTTTGTTATTACTCATTTAAAAGATGTAAGCTTGTCTAAAAATTTTTTAATCTGAAAACTTGAATAACTAAATATTATTGATCAAGAAAAAAAAATATACTATATATTCAACTTAAAAAATAGATGAGATATTTGTGAAGAATATAATAAATTTCAAAAACACTTTGGTTCATCCTGTTAAGCTCACAAGTCATGAAAATTATTGACAGTACCCTTTTTCACTTAAATTAAAAAAAATAATTATAATTTTCAAAATATCATCTTCATTATTATGAACTGTTTAATAATAATAAGTAATTAATTAATTAAATGTATTAATAATATTAATTTAATTTAACTTTTCTTATCAATTATTACCATTGTTATTATCATTTTATTATATCATCATTATAATTACTATTATTATTATTATAAATTATTTTTTTAATAACAATAAATAAATAAATAAAATAAATAAATAATTTATTTATATTAATTTAACTCTTATCAATTATTACTATTTAATTGTCATTATCATTATTATCCCTTCATCATCATCATCACTATTTATCATTATCATTGTCATCATAATTATCATTATCATTGTCATCATAATTATCATTATCATTATGACCACTATTATTATTGTAAATTGTTTAATAACAATAAATAAATAAATAAATAAATAAAATTATTAATTATATTAATTTAATTTAACTCTTACCATCCTTATCATTATTATTATTATAATTATTGTTAATTAATAATAATAATATATAAATTGAAGGAACAAACAAATGAACAAATAGATAAACAATAGGTAAATAATAAAGATGATGTTCTTAATTATTTTTCTAAATCCTTAATATTACAGATTTTTCAAGTAGAATTAAGATAAAAATCTATAAGTCCTTAATTAATCTGTAAATCCTTAATTGATCCGTAAGCCCTTAATTTATCCTAAAGCTACGTAACTTGATAATCAGTTTTTAAAAAAAAAAAAATTTATTTTTAAAAAAATTTATACAGTTAAAGTTTTTTTTTGTTTTTTTTAAAAAAAAATTAAATAAAACTTTATATTTACTTTTCTCTTGCCTTTACCTTTCTTCTCCTTGCCTTTCACTAGTTTGTGGAGGTTAAAATCATCAAAATCGACTTCGCAGATGTATGGTTAAAGGTGAAAAAGTAAGTTTTTTTTTTCTTGCATCAGGAAATTTTTGGGGGCATAAATTTCCATAATATAAACGGGACCCACAGAAATTTATGTCCAAAAATTCAATTTTTTTGACTTTGGTCGCAATTTATGAGACAGGAAGCGATTTTCTACTAAGGTGTTGCTATGACAGATCGAAAGCCCAGGTTCTTGGCTACAAGATGATATGTAAATTATTCCTGTAGCATCGATATCCGCGGA